CAATGTAGGAGAATTCCTTTTCTATGCATCCTCTTCAGCACTTTTTATTTTCTATCTTGTTGATAATAGCCAGTCTAACTGGAATGAGATGACATCTCATTGTGGTTTTAATTTGCATTTCCCTGGTGCTTAGTGATGTTGAGCGTTTTTTCATGTGTCTCTTGGCCATTTGTATGTCTTCTTTTGAGAAATGTCTATCTGTCTGACATGTAGTCTGCAAACATTTTCTCCCAATCTGTAGGTTGTCTCTTCACTTTGTTGACTTGCTGTGCAGAAGCTTTTTGGTTTGAAGTAGTACCATTCATGTATTTTTGCTTTAGTTGCCTGTGCCTTTGTAGTCTCACTGAAAACAGCATTGCCCATCATATTTCATGTAGCATTTCCCCTTTCTTTTCTTCTAATAGATTCATAGTTTTGGTCTTAGATTTAGACTGTTGGTCCATTTGAGGTGATTTTTGTGTAGGGTGAGAGTGTTAATCTTCTGCATATGGATATCCACTTTTCCCAGCATTATTTGTTGAAGAGGCTGTCCTTTCCTCATTACATATTTTTGGCATCTTTGTCAAATATCAATTGGCTGTAAGTGGGTGGGTTAATTTCAGGGCTCTCTATTCTATTCCATTGGTCAATTTGTCTGTTTTTATGCCAGTATCATGCTGTTTGGGTTACTCTAGTTTTATAGTATATTTTGAAGTCAGGGAGTGTGATGCTTCCAACTTTGTTCTTTTTATTCAAGATTGCTTTAGCTATACAGGGTCTTTTGTAGTTCCATAAACATTTTAAGATCATTTTTTCTATTTCTGTGAAAAATGTTATTGCTATTTTGATAGACATTGCATTGAACATGGAGATTGCTTTGGGTAATACAGACATTTTAATGATGTTAATTCTTCCAACCCATGAACATCAGATATCTTCCCATTTATTCGTGTCCTCTTCAATTATTTTCACTAATGTTTTCATTGTAGAGGTTTTTCACCTCCTTGGTTAAATTTATTCCTAGGTATTTCATATTTTGTTAGCTATTGTGAACAGGATTACTTTCTTGCTTTCTTCTTTGGCAATTGCATTATTGGTGTATAGGAAGGCTACTGATTTCTGTGTGTTGACTTTATATTCTGCCACTACACCGAATTAATTTTAGTAATTGTTTGGTGGAGTCCTTAGGGTTTTCTATGTGAATGATTGTACTAGTCCATTTCTGTTGCTTATAACATAAATACATGGAACTGGGTGATTTATAAAGAAAACAAAATCTATTGCTTACAGTCTTGGAGGCTGGGAAGTCCAAAGTCCAGGGAACACATCTCCTGAGGGTCTTGGTGGTGGCAACAGTGACCCAGGGTTCTCACATTGCAGAAAATGGTGGAGTAGAGAGAATAACCTTCTGATTCACTTTCCTTTTAAAGCCCTCAGAACCATGTCCATAACCACCATTTTTAACCCATTCACTAGGTATGGTCCTCAGACTCTAATCACCTCTTCAAGGCACCACCTTTCAATGACCATAATAGGATTTCCCACTCTCAACAGTTAAAGTGGGAATTAAGCCACAATGAGTTTGGGGTGGGTGGACATCAAATCTACAGCAGTGATCATGTCATCTGCAAATAGGGACAGTTAGAAGTCCTTCTTTCCAATTTGAATGCCCTTTGTTGCTTTCTCTTGCCTCGTTGTGCTGGCTAGAACTTCTAGTATTATGCTTAATAAGAGTGGAGAAAGTGGACATCTTCATTTTGTTCCAGATCTTAGAGGAAAAGCCCCCAATTTTTGTCCAGTCAGTGTGATATTAGCTGTGGGTTTGTCATATATGGCTTTTATTGTATTTAGATATGTTCCTTCTATACCTAATTTGTTGAATGTTTCTATCATGCAGGGGTATTGGGTTTTTTTCAAGTGCTTTTTCTGCATCTATTGAAATTATCATATAGTTTTTCCCCTTTATTCTGTTGATGTGATGTATAACATTTACAGATTTGCATATGTTGAACCATCCTTACACCCGTGGGATGAATCCCTCTTGATCATGGTATATGATCTTTTCAGTGTGTTGTTAAATTCTGTTTGCTAGCTTTTTGTTGAAGATCTTTGCATCTGTGTTCATTAGGGATATTGGTCTGTAGTTTTCTTTTTTTGGTTGTCTTTTACCAGTTTTGGTATAAGGGTAATGATGGCTATGTAGAATGAGTTTGGAAGTGTTCCCTCCTCTTCAGTTTTTTGGGAGAGTTTGAGAAGGGTTGGTATTAGTCCTTCTTTAAATGTTGGGTAGAGTTTGGCAGTGCAGTCATCTGGTCCTGGGGTTTTCTTGGTTGGGAGACTTTTTACTATTGCTTTAATTTCATTATTCATCATTGGTCTGTTTAGGTTTTCTAGTTGTTCATGATTCAGCTTTGGTAAGTTGTGTGCACCCAGGAATGTATCCATGTTTTCTAGGTCTTCCCTAGGCAACTTCTAATCTGCTTGCTGTCACTAATGATTAGTTTGTATTTTCTAGATTTTACATAAATTGAGTCCTATAAGACATATTTTTTGTTTGGCTTCTTTCCTTTGGCAAAATTATTTTCATATTCATTCATGTTGTGCATACCAACAGTTCATTCCATGTTATTGTGGAGCAGTATTCCTTTATATAATTCCACATTTGTTTATCCATCAAATGTTGTGGATATTAAGTTTGTTTCCAGTATGGGGCTACTATAAATAAAGCTGCTACAAACATTCATGAGCAAGCCTTTGAATGGCTATATGCTCTCATTTCTCTTAGCTTTAATTTGACCTGTGAGTGAATTGGCTGAATTATATGGTAAGTTTAAGTTTTTAAGAAACTGCCAATTTGTTTTCAAAAGTGGCCACACCATTTTACATTACCACCAATATATTGGAGTTCCAGTTTCTCCACATCCTTACCAACATTTCCTATGGTCAGATTTTTAGTAATAGTTAAATAGTGGTATTTCTTTATAGTTTTAATTTGTATTCTCCTCATAACTAATAATGTTGAGAATCTTTAGTGCCATCAATATATCTTCTTTGAGTGTGTATTTGAATCTTACCTGTTTTTAAATTAGGTCCTTTTCTTCTTATAGTTCAGGTTTTTTTTTTTTTCCTTTTTCTTGATCTGTAAGGGGATCACAACCCTTGGCTCGGTGTCGTCCGCACCACGCTCAACCAGTGAGCGCACAGGCCATCCCTATATAAGATCCAAACCCATGGCCTCCGCACTACCAGCGCTGCACTCTCCCAAGTGAGCCACGGGGCCGGCCCTCTTATAGTTGAATTTTAAGAAATCTTTATATATTCTGGATACAAGTTCTTTATCAAATACATGCTTTGCAAAGACTTCCTTTTATTCTGTGTTTCCATTATGTCATAGTATTTTCTTTTTTATTTTTAATTTTGAAATAACTATACATTCACAGGAAGTTGCAAAAATGATACAGACAGTTCTTGTATACCCTTCCCCCAGTTTCCTCCTCTCTGTCACTGATGGTTACACCTTAAATAACTATAGTAAAATATTGAAACCAGAAACTTAACATTGGTACATAGATCTATGCCATATTATCAAACTGTATATTTGTATAACCATCACAGTCAAGATATAGCACTAATTCATCATCACAAATATATTTCTTGTTGTGCTACCCATTTACAGTCACACCCACCCCCTTACCAACATCATCCCTAACCTCTGTATCGTGTACAGTTTAAACTCTGATTAAGTTAATTGATTAAACTGCCCACTCCACTTTATGTTGATTATACTGGCCTCTGGAAGAGTTACTATAACAGTTGTCAAGAGAAATTGCTGCCCCATATACCTCACTTAAAAAAGAATGTATTATGCTAAGACTGAGAGCAAAGAGCAAAGAGAAATGATCCAGAACCTATCTGGTCTCAAAGAGCAAGGGCTAAAGAAAAACCCATCTCTTGCTCTCTTGTCTATCGCATTTCTCCCTCGTTGCTCACCACATTGTGAAAGTACACACAGAGCTTGTGTATAGTTAACTGATTTAGGATTCAGTGTTGTGCCTCCAAAGTTTAGAAATGCATGGATCTGAACAACTCATGTCAGGTTCATCTTTCTCAAGTATTATGTTTGAATATAATCTCAGTGCATTGTATATACTTTATGTATCTGAAATTAGGATTTTAAAAATTTAATATGCAAAACACAAAATAATGTGATTACTAAACAATATTTAAATAAAGAAATCTTAGTTTGGGGGAAAGTATGGCCCAATGATCTTCCTAGGAGTCCATGAAAATGTCCTGGGATGACTAAATTCCCTTGACAGATCTGGTGTGCTTTGGCTTTACCTGTCTCTTTGTAGATAAGATTTATCTTATGTACCTTATATATAAAATATGCAGCATGCTAATTTTTAATGGATTACAGCTGGGTTGAAAGAGTACAGAGCAAAAGGGGAAGGTGAACAAAATTGTTGTAGAGGGAAGACAACTATAATTCAGAAAACCAGAATTCTAGTCTAGCTCTGTCTAGACTAGACCACCTCCATGATCTCAGATTACTGTTGCTTTCTGAGCCTCCATTTCCACCACAATAAATTGAGGAGATTAACTGAGGTCATCTCTGTTGTGCTTCCAGCTACAATAGTCTGAGTTCTATCAAACTATCAAGTTGGCTAAGAGAAACTAGAAAGATGTGTGTACCAAGAAAGGAACAACAGAAAAGAGAAACTAAGGAATTCAGTTAATATGCTTTGGGCTCTAAATAACAGAATTCCCAAGTAGAAATAGCTTGAATAATAGGGGTTTATTATTTCATACAATAAGAAGTCAAGATGAGGCAGTTTTCAAATTGGTTAATTAACATCTCGCCAATGTCATGAGTCTGAGTCAAATGTTTTAGAACTCTCTTCTTTTTTGTCTTGCGTTGCCACAGTCAGGTCTGATTGCCTGCCCCCTTGAGAAGGAAAGAAAAAAAGACTCAGAAGTCAAATGGTTGGCATTAGAAAAGTAGATGTATTCAGCTGAAGGACATGATAGGCTATCCCATCTCAAAGATGTCGATTTACTGAAGTTTTTTAAAGGAGGGGTTGAGGGAATGGGGCATGGGAGGCGAAAAGCAGGAGAGGAGACGTGAGCTAGGAGGGGTTCATGTCTGCAAGTCAAGTACAAGGTCTCACCACCTCGTCTGGTTTCTGTTCTCATCTTCATTGTTATCTCAGGACCCTGCCAGATTTTGATTTGCCCCAGAGTAGAATCATCTTTTCTGCAGTCTTTCGCATAGTTTCCCTTTGCAGAGCTCTGGTTGACTTGGCTGGTGCCCGAGGTCAGCTTCCAGTCACTTGGCCTTGATCACTTCTTGAATCTCTGCAGGTCTCGAAGAAAGAACAGTTAGCTTTGCGAAGTACTGATTAGCTTCTCAGCCTTGTTCTCTTATTTAGCAAGCAAGATAAGAAAGTCAGGGGATGGGAAGAAAGAGTGGAGAGGAAAAAAAACCCTGCCTTTTAAAAATGCCCCTCCCCCTGTCCCCACAGCCCAGACAGTTTTAAGTCCAATATGGCTTCAGTCCTGCTCACTCCCACAACTTTTGCCATAACTCCAAGATCCAGTCCTCATAAAACATCTAAAAACAGGGAGAAGGAGAAGCATGGGATTCTCTTCATTAATCTGTCTCCTTTTCTTTTGGGAGGAAAATCTTTCCCAACAGATTTCTTTTTGTGTTCCATTGGCCAAGAGTCACATGAAATCCCTAAACCAATCCCTGGCAAAGGAGAATGGAATGATGATGAAAGGTTCAGACCAATTATGACTCATCTCATGGAGATACGCTTACCTTCTCCAAGCCTATTTTTGCATGATACCTGGAAAAGAAACCAGAACTCTGTTAGCAAGTAAAAAAAGGAAGAGAAATATAGAAAAGGAACGACCTGAAAAGCATGAGTATATCAAGGAACCATACAGGAATCAATAAACAGATCTTTATACTTCTAAATGTAGCCACCATGTAATAAAATAATATCCACCTTGGGTATAACATATTTATTTAGCTGGCTTGAAATTAGGGTAAGGATAGCATATGTACGTAAAGTAAATATCTTGGGCATCCAGACAGAATTAGGCTTGTGTGGGAAAGGGGTTGGCCCTGCCTATATAAGGGTAGTGGACCTGTTTATATCATTTATATAAAGAAATTTTCCACTGTGAGGAAAAAGTACTGTAGGTGCTGTATGGCATTCTAAAGATGATAGACAGCAATGGAGTGAATGAGGGGGAATATACTAGAGCAAAGCAAGAGGTAACATGTCTCTCACACCAAAGTCTAAAGAGGTACCTGATCTTCTTCAGTTCTTCAAAAGGTACTAGTAGACAACGTAAGCATAGAATTCATGCATCCATCCTTCTGTGTGTCCCTAGAAATTCATCAAAAACCTCAGGATTAAAGAAACAATTTACCTGAGAGCCCCAAGGGTCACTGCATTGAAAAATCCTGTTCTTGAGTCCATGAGTGTAGGAGTGTCACAGCCAGACCCATCACCATAATCTAACAAAACTTGTCACCAAACACTCTTTAGATTGTAATGGCTCGTATCAAACTCCTAATTATACTTCTTCATAGTAGTAACATTATGTGAAAATGAGGGCATAAGAATATATCAGAAAAGGCTTTATTAATATGTTCAAATCATATTTAACAGAACTCAGACCTATTCCATCACATCAGGCACAAAAAGTCTCTGATTTTTTTTTTTTGCCACTTTCAAGAAATATCTGCATCTTTGTAAAAGACCTAGCAGGATGAGCTGAAAGTTTTTAGAACAGACACAGCCACATACAAAATAATAGAAAGAATTGTTAGGGAAACCATCTCTCCTTGTTAAATTCACAGAGACAACATCTAGGGCTTATAAACACTGAGTAATTTCCCAGAGTTGGACTTCAGCAGTGACACAATCCATGAACTTATTGAACAGGACAGCTTGCTATCACCATCAAAGAAGGACATACTGGTAGAATGGATTTTATGGTTATCCAAACATTCACTTTACAAATAAAGAAACTCACAACCAACAAAGTTTTTAAAATGTTTTTTAAAAAAGAGTACATCAGAAAACGTCTTTCATGTATTCCACTTATTTCATTTCTAAAGGAATTATTTCAAAATGAAATAAAAGGCACTAATAAAGATTGGGCAGGCCTAGATTTGGCTTAGGATGATGCCTTCACCAGGGGACTATGCTCCTCTAAAGGAACTATTAGGGCAGAGTCATAATTTTTATATGCTTGTCCTTCCACTACTTGAATATAGGCTACGGTTTGATGGAAAGTGAGAAATTTTAGGGTCTTGCTATAGTTACTCTAAAACTAGCATACCAGGATAACATTTATTTCGTATACTTTCAGTAATAAATAACTCATGAACCTTCTCAGTGGCCCTGTTAGCAGAAAGTTCTCTAACTACAGATGATATTATATGTCTCTTAGTTAACCCCAAAATTCACATGCAAAATCCAGCCCTTCAGGGCATTGCCTTGTGAATGTGTAACATTCTCTGAGAGACTTTGGTTCTGTAACAAAGACTGGATTACACCCACCTCTAAGAGAGACATGTGATGCCACTTTCACATGTTGCTTTTTTATGAGAAGTTATAAGGACCGAATGAAAACAATAAACAAAATTTCTCCTATCAATTGGACATATTCTTAATTTAGCCTCTTGGAGAAACCAAATTATGAGAAAGGCTATTATTCTAAAACATGGCAGAGTATTTTCACCTCACCAGTAAAGTATGTTGCTCGGTCACAGTGAAAACTGTGGCCAAGCCAAAAGAGAGTGACACCCTTACAATCTGGCTCACAATGTGTCTTTCATTTCAGCAAATGACCTTCTTTCTGCCATATATCAAAGAAGCCATATAGGGTCAACTGACCCTTAAAAGTGGGCTAGACAAAAGTCGATGCTGCTACATAGGCAACAGGGTTTCCAAGTTTGATTCTTTCCCCTGAATTGGGATAGTGTAAATCAATCCATAGCCACCTGGGTAACAACCTACCCTTTCGGTTTGCATAAGCCATTTTGGGGCCTTTTTAAGAGCAAAAAGGCATGGATTTTTCAAATTGTTCAAATCAGGAGACTTGAGAGTGAAAGAGAGCACTTAATAATTATATAAGGACAATAGACATAAATGAGGTTTGTCCTGAGCAAACAGGGGCATAGATATGGTCACCCTACTTATATAGAAAAATGAGAGCAGGGTTGTAAGAAATGCAAACAAATATGCAAAGTATATCTACTAAAACTCCGCACTTTATGGCCATTATATTGTCATACAAACAGAAATGAGTTTGCATGTAAAAATCCCTTTCCAAAATAGCACTGGTTGATGTCATTTATGTCGTTATCACAGGGTGAACACAGTAGATAGGAGAGAGCACTTCTACAAATAGCACAGGAGCTTCTGCTAATAATTATAATGTAAGATTACCATGGGGTAAAATGATACTTAACAAGGATAGAGTGGGTTAGGAGGTTTTAATTTGGTGCCTCCCATTTTGGTCCCCTTTTCCTTTTTTGATGGCTACTGGCACAGAGGAGAAAAAAGGATCTGTCTGGAGCAAGAGATTCTGCCCTCGTTCCAGCTGTGAGTCTCTCGTGGGAATGAGAGCTACTCAGACTCCCCCAATGAAACAGAGCATGGTGGTGGGGCTCCCACCAGAGTTACTTCAGTAAGCACATACTGTTTATATCTAAAACCATTTCCAGCAAGGACAGAGAAATCCAGGAGGTAATTTTTGTTTTAAACCCTTTAAAGGTAAAGCACAAACTAATACTAATTGAGAAATCTATTTGGCAAATATTTAGAGAAGAAAAAACACACCACTTTATATTGTTGTTGTTGTTGAAATGTTTCCCACTCCTTGCTCCCTCACAAAAAAAAAGGGGTGCTGGTGTGGGGACAGAACAGAGAAAAGGAGAAAAGTGGCTTCAGCTCAGCGGAACACTAAAAAATGCACATGAATCAATTATGAAAAAGAGAAGGTCCCTTTGAATGAGGAAAAGCTGATTGGAATTAAGATAGGCTTTGTTCCTATCTGCAAGGTACAAGGAGGGGACTTTTCAGCGGAACAGAAAAGGGGGATTTGGGACTGTTTGGCTGCTTAATGCCATAGTGCTTCAGAGCCCATGTGAAAATTTGCTGCTGGCTATTAATCATCATTGTGCCCCTGCAAAGAAGCTGTTACAATGATGACTATATGTCATTATATTCCCACTGTAAGTAACGAATCAGAGAGCTGGGAAAGTTGGATAAGAGCGGCTGGCAAACTTTTAAGCGGTCGAATCTATTTAAATAAATTTACATCACATTTGCTACTTTCTCTGGTATGGGAATCATACTTTAAAATGAAACAATATGCTGTGTTCATGGGGCCTGGTCTTTTATTCCCCTGTCTCTGAGCCTACTTTCCAGGTCAGCCTTTGCCAGCGCTGACAGCACGCTTTTCTCATAGCCTCTCCTTCTCATAGCCTTTGGTTGCTTTCAAGTTCAATTTAGCACAATAAAGTTGTTATGCATGACAGTTTGGAGAGGAGAATAGGTGGTGTCTGGGCCCGCTGTGTCGCTACAAAGTGGGCCCATTCTCTGTGGGCCGGCTCAGTTACTGGAGCCTTACTGGTGGGATACAGCCATGGACTTCCAGACGTTCCCATCCTGACGAAAACAATTAGCTTCAAACTGCACGAAGCCTCGGGGTCAGCCTCTCTTTGACTGAGACTGCGCCATTTAATATGCTGCAGTGGATTTCAAATTTATGTTGATTTATCCTGTTGTGTTCCTCTTTTATGTGATTTATTTACAGATGTGTAAAGAACAGGGAAAGTTGGAGTCCCCCATCCTTCAAGAGTTTTATTAGAAATCTAAACCATTGTTTTATGTTTATTTTATAAGGAATAGAGTTGAAACATGTCAGGCTTAATTCCATTAGGCTGAACTGCCCAGAACAGAGCCCTGGGGTTTGGAAGACAGAATCTGAAAGGAAGTGTCTCCTTGGCTAAGCATCATCAACAAGCCAAACAACAAACAACCCTAAAACACCACTGTTGTCAAGATAGTTTTCTACTGTGCGAGACCACCCCTCCAAAATCCCACTCCGACCTAAAGGTGACAGATCTTTTAATAAAATCAAAATGTAATTTTTCAACCATTACAGGCTACCATGTGTATCTGTGCACGTGCATATGGATGTATCAGATCAATTAGTGTTTACTATTCACTGACATCCACCCAAGTGCTTACTGTCTTTAGAAATATGATACAAAATGCTGCTGCTGGAGAACAAATATTATTTGATTTTGACACTGAAGAATTGTCCTCATGCAGAGCATAGAACACCTTCTCTCATCCCTCTGAAGAGAATCATGTAACAAAGCAAATTTAGGTGTACTTTGAATTTTACCATCAGAGTCATCTAGGCCAGATGTCTTCAGTTTCTTAGCTCTCCCAGTAAAATAAATCACAGTTGTCTTGATTGCTGATCCCACTAATTATAGGGTACAACCATCAAATAAGCCTCCTTCTAGATTAGAAACTAACGGAAAGCATCTTAAAAGCATATTTCACTTTTCTAAAAGAGTTTATTATTTTTCTGTAAGCTATTTGTAACACTTACTATATTTTTTTCACCAGGAAGAGTGAAATACTAACAGTAACCAAGCCACATAATATTTGCTTCAATTGCATACTATTAGAAAAGGGTAAAAATTAAATATTACACTATGGGGAGAATTTCCCAAAAAATAATTTTATTTTTAATATAGAATTTAATATAATTTCAAAATGTTTTTGACCAAGTTACATCATTAAAAGTAGAAATCTATATCTAGTTCCAGCAAAGTTTCAGAAGGAAAGTCAATTGTTTGTCCTAGTTATCTTTCTCTGTCTGCTATTATGTGAATATTATTTGGTGTCATTTTTAGTAAGAAATATTTTTTTTAAGTCCCCATTTAGAATAGTTTTTGGAAATACAGCTGGACAGGCAAAAAAATTGCATTCTGACAGAGAATATGTGTGTCTGTGTTAAAAGCACCATACCTTTCTAATTTTCAAATGGGCTAATTTCTTTGCCATTCAAATGAGTGAATACTCCAAAAATTGACCAAGCTATTTAACTGATAACATGCACCTAAACAGTCTTTTATTTTTCTTGAAGAAATATGTCAGACGCATATGAAAGTTTCTACCTTACAAGAGTAGTGCAAATAAAGGATGGTTAGATGTTAGGAAGGGTATACCTGGAAGTTCACACCCACACACACCCACACCCACACGCACAGCATGTGTGCAGAAGGCCATTATGGTATAGGCTATAAAATTTAGAATACATCCTCTCATATGGACTCTCCAGTGGAAATGCAGAGTAGCTTACCATAAAAATTTGTTTCCTCATCTCAAAAGAAATTTCCTAGAAATTGTTAAATTAATAAAAGGTAATAAAAGAGTTTTGGAAGGAAGCTTGAAGGATTATAATATATATTATAATGATTTTGTATAACATTTACAATGACCCTAAATTCGGCGCAGACAGCTTTACATCTGTACATTTTTCTTGATTTAAAAACATCCAGTGGAAACAGTTGTAAATAAGTAGATCATCTTCA